TATTTATATGACTCACATGTTTTTGGAAAGTGGGACAAAACACACACAAACACGGACACACGCATTTCCGTGGCTGGATTCAGAGGCACAGTCCGGGCTGGTAAGCAGCTTTACCATCTGCTGAGTCTCCATATTATCTGACAAACTTTATCTAATATAACACAACAGGTTTAAATGCCCAGTGTTAACGGTTTCCTGTATTGATTTATTTTTCACACTAATTTGACTTCTGATTTTCGCCTGTTTTCTCTGACTTTCCATGGTTCCCTAGAAACTGGTTTGGAAGAGAGAACAGGAATATTTTTCACAGTTTGATGCTTGATTTCTTATCACTGTTCATCCTGCCTGGTGTCGTGTTAGAATGAGCGTCAGGTGAAACGCTCAACGCTGTGCACCGAGTCTGAGTGTCAGGGAGCACGTCTGGTGTTTGGGGTTTAAAAATAATGCTCGCATTTCTGAATGGAATTTATTGAAGACAGCTGAGTTCTAATTTCTAGAAGCAAGTGTGGTTGAGTTGGTTTCCTTAAGTGTGTGCATGAGGGCCAGGGTGTGTGTGTGTGTGTGTGTGTGTATGGGCCTGAGCTGGGATTTCTCAAGCAGAATGGGAGGGCAAGGCCTTGATTTTCGGAGGGGGCAGCAAGGGGGGTTTCTGATAGGCAGTTAAACATGATACCGGATGAGCTGGGAGGGGTTATGGGGGGGTGCTATTCTTTAGCGGTGCTGATATGAATTCCCTCTTTGTTTCAGTGCAGCCTGTTGGGTAGCGTCAGTGTTTGCCTTCCATGAGAGTGGAGACCCCCAGGTGTATAGCGCCTTTCACAAGCTGGTGGGGGGGGGGGGAGTGAAAGAGTGGGAGGGATAGAGAGACAGAAAGGGAAAAGGGAGGGAGAGAGGGAGGCGGAGACTGAGAGAGGAGAGCGGGAGAGAGGAAGGGGGGGGGGGTGGTAAAAATAGAGAAGGAAAAGCGTGGGTTCCCAGACCCGGAGCAGGCTGCTGGAGACCTGGCCAACGAGGAGCTGGGGAGTTTAGCTGGGAGAGGAACCTGCACACGTGGAGCCCCCAGCACACGTGGAGCCCCCAGCACACGGGGCGTCCGACACGGCGAGGGGACGAGGACGGCCCACAGGTCGCTGCTTCGCTCAGCCACGTGAGTGACCTTGCGCTCTGCTGGTCCGGTGTCACGCTGCGGCCGATCTCGCAGTGAGTGTCAGTGTCGGCCCGGTGCTGTGACCTCGTCCTGCCCGCAGACGCTCTCCTGACAATCACCAGGAGTTCTGAATATCTTTGTGGGGTATTCTTGCTTGATAAAACTGAACAAATGGAGACTGTGCAGCGTTTTAAATAAGATTCATCCCAAAGGCATTCGCTGCTGCTCTAGTGACAGTATTTTGTGCCGGTTCTGGACGTTAATGTATCTGTGACCCATTGTATTTCGGTTTGGGCTGGTCTGGGATTGGCCTAAGTCATGCTTGCTGATGTAAGTTTGATGGCTGTTTTATCAAGGACTCTGAGGAACTTAATTTGCAGGTTATTTGACAACAGTACACAGGCATGCTTTGATGTCATACAACTCTTAGGTACCAAAGCTTCCTCGAAGGTGTCAATGACGCTCGTTATGTCCGACAGACAGCTGGACTCCAGTACTGCCGCTGAATCATCTTTCTCAGTATATGCAGAGAGCCAGCCGGTTCCTGTGAAACATGGCCGACCACCTGAGCTGAGTGCTGTTGGTCACGTGATCTGTTGGTCACATGATGTGAGGGGAGCGGCCAGGTCAGGGGTCATACTAGAGGAAGCGTGGTGGTGATTCGGGTGTTTCGGGAAACTTGCTGTGTAGGTTTCCGCATTACCTACGCCGGCCGGATGGCCGCTGCGAGCAGCGTAGCTGGATTCCCGTCTGCTTGCCAACAGTTGCCTAAGAGGACGTGAAGGTGAAATTCTGAGCTGCATCCATTCATCCAGAGCCAGAAGCAGCCCTGGGGCTTCTGCTTGGTGACTCCAGGACATGGACATTCGAGCCTCCCATGTCGTCCGCTCTCATACGCAGACACGGCGTCGTCCTCCGCATACGTCCGTGTTTCTCACATGTATTAAACACACATTAATACAGGCGTAAGTGAAAGAGGTTTGTGTCCCAGTGTATAGGGTTACCCAGGCACAATGTACACAAAGCCTGTTTTATGTGGTGAAAGCCCTCAGGCCCACTGAGGTAGATTTGTGGGGCATTTGCTGAATAGGCTGGATAATGGGCTGATGGCGAGAAGAGGGGCCGGTGTAAAAGCTCGCACCCCCATCCGTCCCTCGCAAATGGCCGTTCCCGTTTCCCGAGGCCGAGGTCATGGCCGGAAAATCTATAGGAATGACCAGAATGGAAAGCAGGTGACGGCAAGTGGGTTAAGGCAAGCGAGCCGAGAGGTTTGGCGCGCAGGTGTGTGCACCGAGCCGACGGTCAACCGCGGCTAATCTTTCGGCCGACTTCATTCGACGAACAACTTAATGTTTGGTCTGCGGGGCAAATCCCTCACAGCAACTTCCCCTGTTCCGTCTCGAGCAAACTTAGAGCCACGGGAACATTAGAAAACGTAGAAAATTGGGGTTCGGGTGACATAAATCAAAGGTGTCAATTTCCCAAAGTCTCTTTCATTTTGTCAGGAAGATCAATCGTTGGGGGTTTCCTAGGGGGGGGGGGAGATTAAGAGAGATAAAAAAGACGGGGGAGGGGGGGCTTGGTGGCCCAAATGGGGCCTAAAGAAATATAACCAGAGCAATTGTGGGTAAACTGGGAGGGGGGGTTGACTGGACAAGGATGCTGAAAAGGGTTGGGGGGGTTAGTCTGAGTGGAAGTGGACAAGCTGCGGGGGCTTTGGGGGATCCCCTGATGGGCGCCTTTCAGGGACACTCTGAGAGTCAATGCCACACCCCCATCCCGCTGCTTCCAGTCTGCAGCGTCTGTTGTGTTCCTGGGGGGTTTTTCCCAGCACATTTACCCCGCCGCCCTGGTGATTGCTGGCGATGATGACATCATCACGGTTTTCGCCCGTGATGGAGGCCTCAAAGGCACATTAGCGTTGGCACCAGCTGCAGTTTGGGCTTAAATGCTGTGGAGATGGATCAGGGCGGGCGTAGAGCTGTCAGTGCTCTCCACCTGCTCCCCACCTCTCTCCCACAGGTGTGGGGGCGAGTCTGGCACTCCCCCTGCTCTCCTGTCAACAGCCAGCGACAGCATTCACACACACAGGACGGCGGGCTGCAGGAGGCAGGGGACAAAGGCTAATTTTTGCACTTCAAGAAATAACTTTGCTCAAAACTCCAGGATGGATGGGCCAGTGGGAATTGCACCTTTTCACCGCCCCACAGTTCCTGCTTGTTGGTTCTTGGGTCGGTCCTGGACAGACCTGTACACTCTGACATACAACCATTTTTTTTCTTTAGAAAGCAAATTGATTCGGTGCTAATGCATCTCTTCAGATTCTGCTCTGAAAGACTCCTTGAGTGAGATCTGGCACCTGTTTTGGGTTAATAAGGTTTCAAATGATCTGTTTATGGCCCGTATTGACGTTATGTAGGCTGGTGTCAAGTTTGCCATCTGTTGCAAGCCTTGCCGCTTTTCTCCATTGATATGGAATGTTTTTCGGGAGGCATTGGGTGTAGGTTCCAGTCATTTTGATGGTGTGGGTGTGAATTCCACCACAAAGAAAAGGTGTTTCTTTTGAGGGCAGTTTGTGGCTCAGTGGGCTTGAGTCTGTGTCTGTGATCGGAAGGTGATTCGACTGTTGTGTGCCTGAGTGAGGCCCTTTAGCCCTGGTCACTCCAGGGACTGTCTGACCCTTTCAGTCGTATGTGATTTTGGCTTGAAGCCTCCGCTAAACAAAGGGATTGTAATTCTGCTTTGTTTTGAGGTTACTCTCAAGTTAAGGGTAAAATCAGTGAGGCGTATCAGGTTTAGTCTCAATCACATGTTTGTTTGCGTGGTTCCTGCAGCTGCCTTTGCGTGAGAGAGAGAAAGAGAGACAGACCTTTTGGAGAGAGAATGTTGCTGTGTTTGGTGTTTTGTGCAGCATTGACTGCATGGCTACCCCTGAAGTCATCCTTCGTAGGAGATGTTAGCTCTGGTCAAGGAGTGAAAGGAACTTATCTGCTCGGGGTGAGAGAGGTTGCATGTTGAGCCTGTTCCTCAGTTGGGATGGGGAGTGAAGAGAGGCCATTGGTTAGCAGGGTCCCTAGTTTGGGGGTTTAGACCTTATAGTGCGAACTGGACATAATATTTCACCTCGCCAACCCAGTTTCTACTCCTCTGATTGACGGATTCTCGAGTCACAGTTACTGTACGTTGGAGAAAGTCTCGGGGCTGGGAAATGTTATAGACGAGCGGAATGGAAGCTGCAGGGTGTGAGGTTACAGACCGTCTGTGAGACGTTACTGCTCTGGGATCGGTGGTGTCAGTAATCAGCGGCAGCTTCCCCACCCAAGGTCTGAGGAACGGCTGGAGACCGCAGGCTTGTGTCAGTCATGACGTCCCCCTCCCACTGCCTTCCACACACGTAAATCTGTACGCTGAACTCAATGACAGGGTTTGAGGAGCTGGAAGCGGAAATGAAAGCTGGTCTCTGTCACTCTGAGAAGATACTTTGAACGGTGTGGAACTGAATCGCCATGGTGATGACAGGGCTGGTGCTGGAAGCTCTTCTGCACTCCTGGGCAATGTGTCTCAGAGGGGCTGAAAATCAGAGAGGAGCATTAATACTTATTAGGGTTTGGGTCTTCCTGGCTCTTTGGTTGGGGGGTTCTGTCAGCCAGTGTTCTTCACAGGGAGCTCCAGCTTCTAAACCATCCGGAGTTCCTCGTCTCCCAGCGTAAGCCTTCTGTTTTAGGTTAGCTTTGTGGGCTGAAAGGTCTGTTCTGAATATTTTGCCAGTTATGTCTCAAATCCTCTTGAGACTTTTAATGTGGTTTTACTCTAGGACCGAGTCACCTGTCCTCCCTTTCCGTCTCTGATCCAGATCCAGTATGCCCCAAGAAGGATGGTACCCCTGGAGAGTTTGAGACACCACCCACCAGTCGCTCTCCCGCCCCCGCCCCGAACTCCCCAGGTCCCGCGGCCCCCCAGGAAGGGCCCGTAGCTGGCAGCGATGCCTGGATGGAGAGCCCAGGGGCGGCTCGTCCTACTCAACTCGCTCACCTGCGGGCTGGAGATCTGCGTGGCGGCTGGAATCACGTACGTCCCGCCGCTCCTGCTGGAGGCGGGGGTGGAGGAGCAGTACATGACCATGGTCCTCGGTAAGGAGGTCTGGGGTGTCTGGGACTCCATCGCTGGGGTGTAAATACCCCCCCCCCCCACAGGTTCCTCTTCATATCTTTACATGTATTTATTTATTTATTTATGCTTTTGTCCAAAGCAGCTATTCAATGGGATTGTTGTGCAGCTCAGTGGGTCAGGATCCTGTATCCATGGTCCAAATGTCACTGGTTCAAATCCTGTGATCGACAGAGTGACGTCAATGTCGGGCCCCTGAGCGAGGCCCTTAACACCCGCGAGGCCCTTAACACCCATTTGCTCCAGGGACTGTGTGACCCTGCTCTCTGAACTGCACGTCGCTTTAGCGTCTGCTAAGTAAAATGTAAATGTAAACAGAGGCAAACAGCACATTACAAATATAAGGCCGTCAAGGAGTTGACTAGGCGTAAGTGTGGCCAGACTCCGGTGAAAGCCCAGGTACTGGGGTAAGAAGAGCAGGAGCTACACGATGTGTTACAAACACAGCAAGAACTCAGTAAGACACATATTTAGATCAAAAAACTGCAGCACTTGCATGCGGCTCTGCTGTAAAGCGAAGTCTTATGTTGCCTGCTGGGAAACAGACTCTTAGTGAGTTTTCATTGTTCTTCTTGCGATTAACTCAGTTGTGTTAACTTTAACCATTTTTTTAAATCAATAATTTTTCTGTTAACGTTGTTTTATAGATTAAAGAAGTTCCATATCAGGAAAAAAAAAAGAACTTGAAGGGTTTCTTTTAAATGTAAAGTTAAAAAGCAGGTTCTAGGTTCATCAGAGAGCTCTTTGTTCTGAAGGCGCGGCTCCGGAGCCAGAGGCGGCACTCAGCCTGATCCGGGGGTCAGAGGTCGCTCACCTGTCCCTCTATCTGGGCTGTGGTCAGGTGCTAATTGGAAGGAGGCTTCAGAGATGTTGGCCAGATGTAGCCCTTTGGCCCGAGGGCCCTGGAGCAGAGATTTGGGGTGATAATGGGGGCCGTTTCCGCGTAGTAACTGCTGTGCGTGAGGGCGGCCAGGTGTCCATGGATACGGCAGCGGCCTGCACCATCTGTCGGGGTGCCCTCGCTGCCGCCGCAAGGCTACATGCAGACCGCCGCCCTCGGGCTGGGGCACAGATGTTATTTATCCCAAGGAAAATGTTTCTGCATGTGCTTTTCAGAGTGCGTGTGTGCTGCATGCTGCCTTTTGTGTCTGTTTGCATGTGTGCATGTATTAGGTGTGTGTGTTGGTATGCAGTGCTGTGCAAAGGTTTTAGGCCGTCAAAGAGTTTAATGTTTAAATGCTTAAAGCAATTTATTATTGTAGTAAGTGCATATTTGCCAAGAAAAGTTATGCTAAACTAAATGTATGAAATTAAATAATAGCACAATAAAAATTAATAACTTTTTCTTCTGCTCTCTAAAACGTTATTGATGTCTTGTTGAATTTCACCACCAGCTCACTTAGCTAATTAATTTAATTAGTTCGATAAGGTGATGAGGTATTCATTATCCAAACGTGGAAAGTTAGTGATCAAGTCAACAAATATGTGGGTATTTTGGATGGTTACTGTAAATAGTCTCAGAAAGGTTTCAAAGTAGTGAATCTGACGCAGTTCAACAGATGAAAAAAAACATAGTTCTGCACCAACATAAAGATTTTAACATAATTGTCTTTGGCAGCTGTAGATTTCTGCACAGAACAGTTTGTATTTAGCCATGTGGATGTGCGTGGGTGCGTGTGCTGAGCAGGGCAGGGGAGGCTCTGCGTCTCAGGCTAGCTGGCTGCCCCCTCCAGCGCAGCCTGGATCTGTCTGGGACAGCGGCCCGCTGTCTCCTGAGTGCCTGGCACGGGGCCCCAGGCCGGTCCCCTGGGGGGGGGCCTGCGCTCGACCCCACAGCAGCCTGCGACGGTGGCACTGCCGTCTTCTGTGTTCTGGCCCTTGTCCTCGCTTCTTCCTTTCCCAATCACCATTTTTTTAACTTTAACGTTAGATGATGTGTGTATGTGGTGTGTATGATGTGTGTATATGGTGTGTATGATGTGTGTATGATGTGTGTATGTGGCGTGTATGATGTGTGTATATGGTGTNAACAACTCTGAGCTATTAGTTAAGTTCTCCCCAAGCGAGCTCGATGGGCCGAATGGCCTCCTCTCGTTTGTATAGTTCTTATGTTCTTATGTTTTGAGTGAAGCTCACCGAATCATCTTGGTGCATGTCTTCTGTTTCTCTTCAGGATCTTTCTCCTCTTTCTGGTTCAGGTCCAGCATGGCCCGGGAAGAATGAAGCCTCCACAGTGTCTGCGACCGCTGTTACGCCGCGCCCCCCCCCGCATTCTCACCTCCTGCCCCTCTGTTGGTCCAGGCTGCCCTGTTTTTGGAACTCGTGGTAGAAAGTGGGGCCAACTGTCTCTAACCAAGATGTCTGGATGGAGATCTCATTGGCATCTGGTCCTGCTGAACTCGCTGACGTGCGGGCTGGAGATCTGTGTGGCGGCGGGCATAACCCATGTGCCTCCCCTTCTGCTGGAGGCGGGGGTGCAGGAGCGGTACATGACCATGGTTTTAGGTAAACCTGCAACTGTCCTGCTGAGTTTGATGGACCACGATAGGGAGACCATGAATTATGGGAAGTTTGAATAGGATCCTGGAGGTCTTTAGCAGAAGCTAAAGTAGAAGCTTTCTGTCAAACATGTGTTGTGGGTATTCAGTCATTTCCCTTACAATGAATAGATATCTGTGTTTCTGCAAACAAATTGTCATTGCATCATTTGTATAAGCAAGAGGTCACAAAGGTGGGAAATGTAACAGAACAGCGTGGTAAAATGAAACATTGAACCGGTCTCTGGGGATTTAAAATCATAGTCACAGCCTTCTTGGGTTTAAAAACATGAAAATGAAGTAGGAAGTGTGGTCCCTCAAGAATTGCGCTTGAGAGGAAAATTACATTAGGATAGAGTCCCAGAAGAGGGATTTATGCTGTACTACTGAGATGGTACTCATTTAATAAAAGGTTCACACCATGACACTGTAAGCTATACAGGTTGCTTAGCAACAATATACCTGTGTCACTAAAGAAATGGACACCTGACCCATCTTCCTTTGTTCAGTAATAACGCAGCATTGTAGTTCTTGTTACTTGTGCGATTCGCAGGACGGTAAAATGCATATATTTCTATAAAAGTTGCTCTGATGCAAAGGAAGATATTCTTGTGCCCTGTTACCCTTTTCCGCTGCTCCTCACTTCACCGGCTCACCGTAGAAATGCGGCAGATGTGTGATTGGTCAGGATGTGCTGTGTGAGGGTGGGTGTGACTGTCCTCCTTGGAAAGAAGGTGAACCCCCCCCCCCCCAAAAGCAGAGCCTGGGTATATCCTGGGTGTTAATGCCCCCCCCCCCCCAGTAGCATAAGCAGACATTCCGCTCCATCCTGCAGACGCTGACCCTCCAGATCAGGTGTGTGACTCTCCCTTTGGGCCGTCCCGTGTCCCTTACTCCTCTAGCTGCAGGACCGGGGGGCACATTGGCCCCCATGTGTATGAATCGGGTAATGGGCAAGCAGAGTGGAGGCTGTGAAGATCTGCATCAGCTGAAGAGCACAGAAACTGGGCGGATCCCGGGCAGGAAGCCTGTGTGCCTGTAATCAGAAGGTCGCCGGTTCAAACATGACCTCAGCATGTCTGCGGGTCCTTGAGCAAGGCCCTTAACCCCCAGCTCCCTGGGTGCCGCTATGGGTGGCTGCCCTTCAGACAGCTTACTCTACTAAGGGCAGGTTGAGGGAGGTGTAAAGACAATTTCAATATAGTATCAATTATTATTATTACCTCACTTTCTCAGTTTGCTTTAACCTGCAGCTAACGCTACAATGAAATGCCTGAAATAGGGCTAAACAGAAAATGAACATGAAGCTGCCCAAATAAATGGTTACATTATTTTATAGTCAGTCACGTTTTGAAGATCAGCTTTACTATTAGGGATTTATTTATGTTGCCATGGCAACAAGCCTGCATTAATCATGTGTTAACAGGTACATATCACTTCAGCTCAGATGTCTGTTGTTCCGAGCAGCCAGAAACTGGAATGAAAAATGAAAATGAGGTCCTGGCTGTCCCTAGACGAGCATTGCTCAAAATAATTCATGTACTTGTTTGTTTGTTAACTTCCTTATTAGGCGGGCACCAGTGATTGGCTGCCTGGCAGTAAGTTACCGGCCGTGGTTATTCCGACTTGCCAGTTACTCATTGACCTGATGTGGCGGGAACCCAGGGAAGGGGATTCCGGTTTCTGGCTCTCCCTGCCGGATCTGCCCCAGTGCCGCCCCCCAGTGTCGCCCCCAGTGCCGCCCCCCAGTGTCGCCCCCAGTGCCGCCCCCAGTGCCGCCCTCTTTGCTTTGGCTGGTCCCCTCGCCTGATGCTTTTCTCCTCATTCTGTGCGCCCCCCCCCAGGTATCGGGCCAGTGCTGGGGCTCCTCTTCATCCCGCTGATCGGCTCGGCCAGTGACCGATGCTCCAGCCGTTTCGGCCGCCGTCGCCCCTTCATCTGGCTGCTGTCGCTGGGCGTGCTGCTGTCCCTCCTCATCATCCCGCACGCTGACGCGTTGGCCGCCCACTTCGGCCATGGAGGGCGCCCCCTGCAGGTGGGCCTCCTCATCCTCGGCGTGGGCCTGCTGGACTTCTGCGGCCAGGTGTGCTTCACGCCGCTGGAGGCGCTGCTCTCCGACCTGTACGCTGAGGAGGAGGCGTGCGGTCAGGCCTTCTCCATGTTCTCCTTCATGGTCAGCCTGGGGGGCTGCGTGGGATACCTGCTGCCGGTGCTGGACTGGAGTGGGGGGCTGCTATCCACCTACCTGGGGGGCCAGGAGGAGAGCCTCTTNAACGGCGAGCGACTGCTGGAAGACTTTCGCCCCCTCGGCCCATTCCGCTCTCTTCCTCATTCCGTTTTAACGTTTCAGTCCCAAACGAAGGGGGGGGGGGGGGGGGGGGCAGGGACACACACCTGTCACAGCAAGGCACTTTTGATGGAGGTTCACAGGGTGAGAACACAGTATGCGGCAGAGGTAACCCTCCCTCCCCGCAGCTTCTCTGGGTTTACATATTAAAACACTCCTGACCTTCATCTGGTCCTCAGCCGGCCCGCTGGATAGATCTCAGCTGGCATATTCTCCCCTCTCACCAGTTACTAAACAAAAGCAGCCAGTAAATGCAAACATGAAATGCCCTGTAGTGGTGCAGTAAGATGTGGTGCCCCCTGTTGGTGGCTGCAGCCGGAGTTGATGTTTCCAGGTGGAGTTTATTCCAGTGGGGAGGGGCAGCACTCTGTCGTGTCCCATCAGGCCGTCTCGGAGCAGTGGGGGGTGTTCCCATAGTAACCCCTTCGTCACAAGGTCATGCTGAAGAAGTACTTTGCGGTGGAAATTGATCTGAGGTCTGCGTGTGTGGCCTGCTTGCGGGTTGTGATGACAGTTTGACCAGCTGGCTGTGTGTGTGTGTGTGTGAATTATCTTTTCTCTGAGTGTGTGTCAGGCCACCCTGTGCTTATTCCACAATGAGAGTGAGCTGGCAGGACAGAGCAGGTCATACATAAAATGAATTAGTCAGTCTGCTGTCGACAGACCTTCCTTCACCCAAACCCTCTTGCATGACATATGGACGCGTCTCAGCATTTCTGGCGCCATGGGAACCATTTGTTGGCCATGGGGCTTCTGTCCTGCAGCACCCAGAGGGGATGTGAGCGGACAAGCTCTCCCGCGGGGCCTCTCCAATTAGTCTGGACGCTGACATGTTATTAGTTTGTAAAACGCTTCACTGCCCCCCTCTCTGCTTCCTGACCAGCCTAAATCCATACGGCTTCACTTTACAGAGCAAGCGATGAAATAAAACCCAACTCCATTCTCTTCTTGGTGAAAAAATAAGACTTAAAATTTGGACTATCGTAAACTTTCTTGGTATATTTCGCAATCAGCTTGTCGTTACGCAGTTTTACCTCTGGGGGGCGTCGTTCCCCCTCCGCTTACCCTCCGGGGTTCCCTTTCCTGCTCTGCTGCAGGTATCGGGCCGGTGCTGGGGCTCCTCTTCATCCCGCTGATCGGCTCGGCCAGTGACCGCTGCTTCAGTCGTTTCGGCCGCCGTCGCCCCTTCATCTGGCTGCTGTCGCTGGGCGTGCTGCTGTCCCTCCTCATCATCCCGCACGCCGACGTGCTGGCTGCCCGCCTGGGCCGTGGAGGGCGCCCCCTGCAGGTGGGCCTCCTCATCCTCGGCGTGGGCCTGCTGGACTTCTGCGGCCAGGTGTGCTTCACGCCGCTGGAGGCGCTGCTCTCCGACCTGTACGCTGAGGAGGAGGCGTGCGGTCAGGCCTTCTCCATGTTCTCCTTCATGGTCAGCCTGGGGGGCTGCGTGGGATACCTGCTGCCGGTGCTGGACTGGAGTGGGGGGCTGCTATCCACCTACCTGGGGGGCCAGGAGGAGAGCCTCTTTGCCGTGCTCATCCTCATCTTCGTGGCCAGCGTCCTGATCACCATGAAGGTGTCCGTGGAGGAGCCACCGTGCAGTATGGCCATGGAGCCACGCCCCCTGGAGGCTGTCCGCTGCACTGCACTCCCACGCCCCTGCTGCCCGATGCCCCACTGCCGGCCTCGCCTCCGGGGGCCGCGCCCACTGCTGTGCCTGCTCCGTGCCTGCTGGTCCGTGACCCCCGCTCTGTACCGCAGCTACTGCCACGTGCCGCAGGTGATGCGGCGACTATGCGCGGCGCAGCTCTGCAGTTGGATGGCCGTCATGTCCTTCGTCCTCTTCTACACGGACTTTGTGGGAGAGGGGCTCTACGAGGGCGTGCCCAGCGCAGCCCCCGGGACGGCGTCCAGGCAGCGCTACGATGAAGGTCGATCCCGCCACCACTCCTCTGTTAGCTAGCGCCTAATCGCCTCACATCGTACTTTGCCTTCCGTTAGCTAGCGCCTAATGGCCTCATTTTGTACGTTGCCTTCTGTACTCCCTGTGCTCCCATTTCCACCCACTCTCTGTGCTCCCCTCTCTCCTCCCCCTGTCTGTGGCGCCCCCACCTGGCCACCTTCTGCACAGCAGCTATCTTCACCATAAAAACCCTGACAGGATCTTTACATACTGACAGGTGCAGCTATCATCCTACTCTCAATCATTCCTCTTTTTTTGGTAATTTTATTTATTTTCATACATTCCTACCTCGCGGGTGTGATTATCCTGTCAGCCTATGCCCTCCCTCACCGCTGACTCCCATGCAGCTGAATGCTCGTGCTCCCCGCGGTCAGGGGGTGTGCAACATGGAAGCCAGAAACACACGTATGAACGTGGGCAATGCGGTGGCAGCCCACCCCCAGGGGGAAGCTGCAGCAGATAAGGCAGTGGAAATTTCTGGAACAATGCAGATCCCACAGGAGCTTGGGGAAGGAGACCTGTTCAGGAGCAGCTCCTCCACTCCTACTTCTGCTCCTTCCACAAAGCTCTTAAATGTTACTTTATGATCTGTACACACACACATTAACACACTTGTGCCGGTAGCTCTAACTCTCTCTGAGGGCAGTGACATCATTTGTGTTTTTGTGCATTTACATCATGTTTAGCAGATGTTTTTTTTCAAAGCGACATACATTTCAGAAACAGGGGCAGATAGTTCCTAGAGCAATTGGGGGTTAAGGGCCTTGCTCCGACAACAGTGTCATCACTCTGCTGACCCTGGGATTCGAACCAACAAGCTTCTGGTCACAGGTATGGCTTTCTAACCTGCTGAGCCAAACGCCACTAAACGACTGAGGTGGTGTGTGTGTCTCAGGCATAACATCGCTGTCAGTTTTAACTTATCTTTATTAGAGATTTCCCCACACATACACATTCAAGATTCAAGAACTTTATTGTCCGCGCGCAAGCACAACGGAATTGCACATGGACTTAGTGTCAGTGTAGCTTTCTGTGTTAGTCCTGTGCTGCATCCCCTGTCCGCCCGCCGTGTCAGTGCAGGACATTGCGCGGTCAGCAGTGTGGTATCTGCCCCACGGGGCACGTGGCCACGCAAGACATCAGACAGGCATCAGGAAGAGGGATTGGTGACGCTGTCAGGGCCTGTCAATCTCGCCTGCCGATGGCGCTGACGGGGGCCTGTCCCGGGGGGGGTCTGTGTTATGCTGATACCCTCTGCAGCATCTCAAGCTCAGGGAGAGAACAATCCCTGAGAAAACGCGCTTCCTGTTTTCCTGCCAAATGGTGAAATAATTGGACTGCAGTGGGCTGGCATCTAAGCCAGATTCCCCAAATTGGTTTGGCGAGCAGGAAGATTCTCTCTCCAAGGCCGTTCAGTTTTTCTGATGTATTAAACACCCCGATATGTGCTTTAAGACACTGTCCTGCCCACCGTATGGTTACTTCAGACCCGTTTATTGAGTTTCAGACAGAAGTCAACATGGACATTGATAGATCTGCCATTATTGCTGTTTCTGAATTCCGTGACCTTTTTTGTCCCCTCCAGGGATCCGTATGGGCAGCCTGGGCCTCTTCCTGCAGTGCGCCACCTCCACCGTCTTCTCGCTGGCCATGAGCCGGCTGGTGCGTCGCTTCGGAACGCGCCGCGTCTACCTGGGCAGCATGGCCAGCTTCACGGCCTCCGCGCTGGTCATCTGCCTGTCCAAGAGCGTGGCGCTGGTCACCGTCATGTCAGCGCTCACCGGCTTCGCCTACGCCACGCTGCAGACGCTGCCCTACACGCTCACCTGCCACTACCACAAGGAAGAGGAGGTGGGCCTACATCTGTACCCTGCACTCCGCCCTCCCCACCATCCATGCGGAGGGCGCCCCCTACAGGCTTTATTTGTAACTCTAAAGTTAAGCTTAGGCCCACAGACCTGAGACATTGCATCCTGTATGTCAGCAGGGCTTAGTTTCATGGTTTTCTAAAACTGATCAAATGTTTTTCCTTTTTTTTTTCCCCTCCTTTTCAGGTTTTCATGCCAAAAAAACAACCGAAATACAGTAAAAGTAACGGAAGCCTGGCCTCACATGAGGTGGTGTGTTTGACTGCAGAGGGTGCCAGCGGAGAGCTGAGCCGCGCACTCTGCAACGCCAACGGGGCCGTGCTCTTCGTGGGGGACACCGCCGGACACTCTGGGCCCCTGAAGGGCCCTGCGGCGGCCCCGGCTCCCCCCCCGGTGCAGGATCACGGGAAGCGCGGAGTGGGTCTGGACTTCGCCATGCTGGACAGCACCTTCCTCCTGTCGCAGGTCTTCCCCACGCTCTTCATGGGCATGATCGTCCAGCTCACGGAGTCCGTCACCACCTACATGGCCTCGTCCGCCATCTTCGGCTCCGTCGCCATCTACCTGGTGGGCCACGTCGTCTTCGAGCAGAAGGACCTCAGGAACTGAGAGGAGGCCAAGGGGGAATATAAGTATGTCTGCTGTTTACTTGGCCATTGCTCTTTCAACATAAGGGTCACATGCTGTCACTGTTGCCATGGAGACTCAGTCCTCCCATAGATATTTATTTTTTTTATATATCAAAGTTCTCTATGGGTGTTTCTCTGAGTTGCAACCCTGTAACACTCACTCACCTCCCCCTTGCTGTTTTTAACGTAACCCCCCCCTCCCCCATTACCCGGTGTACCCCACACACCAGAAATAGTCCACTTTAAAGACCCAAAAACTGTAGGAAGAGCCCAAAACAACATGGTTATCATCCATTCTGCCAGTGGCAGGCTGTAATTCAGTGCTTAACGACAGTTGACACTCGTGGGAGTCGACCCCCCCGCCCCTTGCGAGTGCCGCTCCTGAAAGGAAGTCGAGTCGGGGAAACCCATTTCTGGCTCAGGCTGCTCGCTGTTTACCTCGGGTTGGTTGCCATGGCGAAGGGATCGGTGTTGATAACCAGCAGCACCCTGAGGGACAGAGAACTTTCTACATGTATTTATACACCAGGATGAATTAGGAAGCAGACACGGCTGTTTCATTTCAGAACAGTTTAACGTAAAGAGCCGTAATGCTGTATATATTTTGTGTGCAAATGATTATATCCCTGTGGGAATTTATTACACAACCTTTTTTGGTATTTTAAGTCTGTGGTATTTCTGACAAAAGACTTCAAAATCTTCACACTTAACCTGTTATAATATCATACATCTGCTGTGTAAAGGGTATCAGGACCAGACTTAATATTACACAGGTGTTATGCGCTTGTGCTCTGGTTTTATTGTTAATTGTTAGTTGTGTTAAAGTGAAGCATTTAGTTAAAGCTGTTGTTTGCAGAATAATAAATCAGTTTCAGGGAAATGGCTTGAAAGCCCAGCGTAATGAATAAGGCTGCCTCTTGCCTTCTGTGTTAAATCCCATCAGATGGCTGAGAACGGAGCTCTGAGATGTCCTGCTCGCGGTTGTCCGGGCAACAGCCAAGTCATGGGATGAGTCCTGAAGTTCAGTTGTAGCTCCTTTTTTTTGTCTCTCCTGCCATCCTGTAGATCGTGTACTTGTATGTTTTACTTCAAAGGTCAGGAGTGGTCAGGAAATGGGAGTGTGGATTGGCTGGTCATGTGACGACCCTGTCATGTGACAGCAGTCAGAACCCTGGCCAGCGGGATTCTGGGTCTGATGAGAAACCAGCCTGACTGTTTCCATCAGTCACAGATAAATGCCCTTTGTGGCTGGGTTACTGTCTCGCCCCGGCCTGCTCTTACCAGAGTCATCAAAACGATTCTATGCACTTTCAATAAACTGAACTGATATTTAGGCCGCAAGGAGAAACCGTATATAAAATGTATCTTCATAAAGAAAAAACCCACGGCATGTTAGCCTGGCTTTGCTCTTATGCATTGTTCAGTTGTAGCTAAAGTGGAGGCAGATGCCTTGTGTTCAGATTGTCTTTATGTCTGTCCAACCCTTAATGTCGTGCGTCTCAGCTGTGGTACGCATTCCTTTCAATGAATATTCATAATATTATATTCCAAGTAATACTGTACTAATACTGTATTGTATGTATTGTACGCGTATTTCGTCAGACTGCATTGTTTTGTCTATAATCATTTATTTTCTAACCCTATAAAATATATTTTGGGAAGTGCCTGAAAAATGTATTTTTGTAATTATTTATTTATTAATTATAGAATCATATTGACACTAAAAGTATTTTGCCTTATTGGTTTTCTTGAGGGTTTGGGAGAGAAATCCGTTGCTATTACGCTATACGCCCTTTCGCTTGCTTTACGCAGTATAAATTATCAGAGTATTCAGCATTCTCTCTTTCCCTCCCGGACGCGAGGGTAAGTACAAATAAGTACCAAAGCCAGTGCTGGACCGGAGGCAAACCAATCACACAGCTGTGTGCCTCACATTCTGCTTAAGAAAATTAATACCGCCATCGTCTGTAGGTCACGTAAATTGTAATTGAACTGGAAATTCTTCGTTTCCGTAAGTTATCAACGGCTTCTGCCCGAAAAACGCACATAATTACAATAATTATCACTTAATTATATACTACAGAACAGTATTGATTGCTATCAGTAGGTTGGGTGGGACATTTAAAAGGCTTTTATATGTTTCTACAGTAATACACGGCCAATAGCCTATATAGTTTCAAGCAGTAATTTCCATATCATATAGTGGCTTTTTAAAATGTTGCTTCTTTGAGCCCATGATTATTATTTTTAAATAACGCCGAGTGGCATCACTAGTGTCGGCTTACATCTATTTATTTTTTATGAATATAAATATGGAAAGAGCAAGCGCGCGTTTCAGCAGACTGGTTAATGAGTGCGGCGTCTTTGTGAATGGGCCCCATCTATCAAACGTATCTTTCCATTATGGGAAGGCAAAGGCTGGACTGGGAGGCTGTGACGGTGCCGGCCGCTTCGTCAATGAAGTGCTGTCATGTACGAGGCTGCGCTGGCTTCTCTCCTCCTTAGGAACTTTCTGGACTAAAATGTACATTTCATGTAATTCGGTGCTTCAAAGACAGTTAATCAGTAGCATTATACTGAAGTACAGACTTAAAAGTTTCTCTGTTTTCGAACTATGCGTTTTCCATTCAAATTTCTTGATAAATGTGTTTTTCCAAATTTTGTTTCTGTGAATCATTCCGGTGTATAAGTTTCCATCTATAAGGTAATTTGAATGCAATTATATATAAACTTATTGATGCACACAGCTTCGTGCCACTTGTTTTGAAATGAACTGTCATGCAGACCGGTGGATTTTGATCTTAATACAGTAGGCCTGTATTAACATGTGTTAATATGTTATTTTGCCTTGTAGGCTTAGAAGAATATAACAAACGAATTTCACTTTCTTCGTAAAGCAAACGTGGTCTGGAAATTCATCTGGCGTTGTTTTTTTTTTCCATGTTATAGCCTTTAATTCATTACAATCAATAATACCTACAAGTTGCAAGCGGTCTGTGAGTGGACGGTACAACGTCTTTTTCTATGGAAACGTGACATTAAGACAAATGTTAATATATGTGAATTTAATTAATTTGGGATTTAACTGCTGTCGGGTGGCAATATTTCGTCCAGAATAAACTTCATTTCAGCAAACAGTTTCTATAAAATATATTTGGGGTTCTTATTTCTGGGTAGCCCGTTAAAGCCAAAAAAAATACGACCATACTGACATTTAATGTCACCTGCATTGCTCTGAATGTGAAGCTTCTTATGTTAACTAAAGTCCTCCTTCTAATTTTTATATAGGCTATAACTTTTTTCCACGATCTATTTAACATAAGATCCGTCTTTTTTCTGTCATCTTAATGCGATTTTGGTTTGTCATAGTAATTCAATCTAATTACATCCTTTTAACCTGCTCACAGATTCAGATAGACAGCTCGACTATCTAAATTTGGGGAGTTCACAAAGGAAAACGGCTCATTACGAACATGTCAGAACGATCGTGCGCTGAACTAGAATGAAAATTAATTAATATGATACTTATTTGTGTCTCCGTGCGCATACACACTGTTTTTTTGTGCCGTCGGCTGCTATTTGATGCTTTTTGCGGATGTCTACTCGATACGGTCTTTTTATTATTACTGCCGTTTTCACGACTGAGCAGTATTTATGCTTAGATATTTTTATTCTGCATTTCTTGGTTCAAAGTTGCTCTGCCCACTTGTCGGACGGACGCCTCGGAGGTATCACACATCCAGCTCCGTATTCCCCTTTAAACAGCGCCGCTCTTTTACGTGCCGCGTCCCTGACAGCCCGAGCACCTGGAGGAGCGCCTGGAGGGCTCGCTATGCCCTGGCGTGCGGTCATTCCCGCGGCTCTAATCTGTACCACAGCACAGGAGGAAGAGAGAGAGAGAGAGGGAAAAAAGCTGCACAACGGGGCCTCTCAAATTTCAGGGACTTCCATGGGGAATACGTTTTGCTTTTTTGTCACAAATCCTGCAGGGTGAGAAATTTTAACGTATCGTAACGTGGACTTCCGGGACAATCAGCGCAGGAAGCGGCTGACAGGATTGCCATTGCTCTCCGGTGACTGCTGCACCGTTTTTACACCTTCCTTCTAAATAAGGAAGCGGGCTGTCTGACATATGACCGCCGGCCCAATTTGGACTCTGCCAAAGTGCCCATCAAATCCCATGATCGCTCAACGCCATCCAATGAGGATCTCCTTCTCCACCGTCTCACATGCGGCATGACAGCGCTCGATTGAAGTCCCAGCAGAGTTGGCATTGCAGTTCAGCGCTTCAGCTCTTGCGGGCTTGCAACTTTCTCTCCCCCCCCCCAACCCCCCTACTTTGTTTGAAGTCAGAGTGATGTCATATAAAGATGCGGATGCGTGGCAAGGTGATTTAGATTTTTGGTGAGTGGTAATCTCCACGGCCAGCGTTGCCCACCGAGAGGCGCGGAGCGGCACAACATGATAATCACCACCACCGCCACCTCAAGCACTGCCGCGCTCTCTCCTTTTTCTTCTCCGCTCTCGGGCTTTCGTTTCATGCCCGAAATCCTGATCTGCCTTCCAAAAATAAGCCTGTGCCACCATGCCGAAGAAAGAAAAACAAGAAGAGTGGTATTTTTAGGACCATTAATTTTGACCACGTGCCCCGTAGGTAAACCGGATGGCCATTGCGCAAAGACTCCTCATCAGTATGTCCTACGAGGCCGGCACGCACTGGACGTTGACTGCGATTGTTCTCCTGGGCTTCCTGCTGGGGATTGTGTCAGCATATCCGATTTCGAGCAGGACTAATGCAACTTTACTGGAGAAAAGATGGGAGACCCTGTTCTCCCGCTCCATTCTGGGGATCTCGGGGGAGAAATCGGACCTGAACTGGGAGAGTGACTATTTGCTGGGCATCAAGAGAGTGCGGAGGCTGTACTGCAACGTGGGCATCGGGTTCCACCTTCAGATCCTTCCAGACGGCAGGATAAACGGTGTACATAATGAGAACCAGTACAGTGAGTTGCATCCAAAAATGTAATGCAATAGAGGACACATACTATGAGTGGTCGCAATTAATTACAACTTGAAGAGCATCTGTATCCTCGTTATTTTGCATGATATTTAATCAGCCGTTAAGTAAGCATCAGATGTCTCCTAAAGATAAATCTATTAAAAAACTAGTACCCATCAGTGCTAAATATCTTTCCAGGCTCAAACATGACATGAATGCTTGGACGAATTTAGATGCCAACTTATTTTTACACGGGATCTTTTTGCGGCCCAGAAACGGGCAGTCATGCACGTCAGAATCTGTAGATATAGGAGATTTTCTTGTGTTTAGTGACATCTTCCTGGATGAAATATATTCAGAACAAAGGCGACGCGATCAGACCTGCAGCCTGCAAGGTTACACCCACATCATAGTGCGTGTCTGCTATTGTTTGCTCCGGCGACCGTACATTGTGTCAACCTGACCGGTTTCCTTTGCAAAGTATAACGCCTGATATTTTTCTCCAACTAGGTCTAATAGAGATCTCCACGGTAGAGCGAGGAGTGGTTAGCTTGCATGGAGTCAGGAGTGACCTGTATGTCGCAATGAGTAGCAGAGGAAGGTTATACGGCACGGTAGGTGTGCATAACTGTTATTCCTTTCGCTGTTACCGGCTTGCGGTTTGGAGAGAGTGAGTGATCAGCTTTGGGGGGCAGCGTATCGCCGGGTAGATCCGTGTTGGGGAGCACGTTTGACAAAAATGTCCGTGCGTGTGGTGTGCGAATTGATTGCAAATGAATTGCACATCTAGCGGATTGTTCGTATTAATAATTTTAATCGGGCCTGCAAAATTGTTTTCTTGTTTGTTTACGTGTTATGAAAAAATTAAGCGTGTCACAGATATTCAATATGCATAAAGCGAGCTTTCCTTTATGAATAATTTATTCCCTTAATAATTCATCGTCAGTCTTATAGTGTTGACGATCAGCTGGAACTATGACAAATGGGCATGTGGAAGGCATCGTTTCGTGTCCCGCTTTTGTGACAGTTGTGGGATCAAAACGAGCATTTTGCCTCCGTCAGTGTTAACTTTAACAAGGGACATTTTAGCGAAATCACCTTTCAGAGAAGGCAGCTTTACGTAGAATAGTTACGCCACCCGCCTTTGGGGGGATGACAAAGTATCTTCACGAGGAGCCCAGTAATTTTGCAGATGACAGCTTAACCGAATGTTCACTTCGCGTTTTGTCACATTGTCACTGCTCTTGACGCAAAAAATCCACCTCGATTTATATATAAAGGCTTGCAAGAACAGAGGCAGGCGAAGCGAGGTGTATTCCACGTAATGTTAATAGTTTCTTTTTTTTTACTGTAAGTCTGCGTGCCGCACAAGGTAGCCCTATCCACTCAGCACAAGGTGCACGGATCCCCGATCTAATGGGAAGCCTTTACACCGCAGATAATCCTAAGAACTGCTTTCTCTGGGATAAACGATGAAGCTGATATCGATATGTAGCTATGCAATTTAAAGACAGTTTTAAAGAGCATAGTTTGTTTTATCTGTCCTTTTTTGTAGACGTTTACAATGGCCCATAAACTTCAATGAATCTTTTAGGCTATAATATTTGCCTAAATATAAATAAAAAAACAGTTAGCTTGTGCTTAAGACTATATTAGAAGACACACCAGAGAATGTGTATTTTTGATGATTATTATCATGGGTATAATATTTCCTTAATGGTGCTGTGTATCATTTCCAGAAAGCTCTGCATTTGTGGAAGCATCTGGGAGGTGCGGGGTGCCGGAGGGTGGGGTGGGGTGGGGGGGGCTCGTTGGGTGAGGTTTGGTTGCGAGACTTGTGCCCAAAAATGGGGTTTTCAGGCAGCTCAGCGAACGCCTGGGCAGAGGAGCCACTGCAGAGGGCTGCTGTTAGAGGATGATGTGAGGGTGCGTCCATCTCGGTGTCCTGGCTTTGAAGGGAGACTGCAAAAGTGCCTCAGTCTGATAGAACTGATAGATTCTATTTATTGTATATTAAGGGATTCATTCATGCTAGACTGAAAAAGACTGCTTCTGATATACTATACAAAAAAACCACTTCATTCATTCTATAATGGAGAATGCACACTATAATGAAAAAGGCTGCCTCGTTTAATGCTACAATGAAACATAACCTCATTCATTATGACGAAGAAGAGTAATTCATATTGTATTGAAAAAGACTGCCCACAATGAAAGATACCTCATTCATATGATGAAGAAGAGTAATTCATACTGTCATGGAAAAGGCTGCCTCATTAATGCTGCAATGAAAGACTACCTCATTCATTATATAATGAAAAAGGCTGCCTCATTAATGCTAAGGTGAAAGACTACCTCATTCATTATATAATGAAGAGCAATTCATTCTGTAATGAATAATAATAATCATACTATAGTGAAAAAGAGTGGCAGTTATACTATAAAACAAGACCACCTCATTTACGCTACAGTAAAAGATTACTTAATTTATTCAATAATGAAACAGACTTCCCTGCTTATGCTACAGTGAAACACTGCTGATCTCTGCTGAGAGAGCAATGAATTGGTAGACAATTATCACGCAGGCAGGATTAGTGAAATTGTTAGTAATAAGTAAATAAGGGCATTGTCCCAAGTCAAAAAGGAACTATTCTGTTGTATATCCTTAGTGGCGTGGGGGCTGTTGCGTGACAGTGAGCTGGGGGGTGCCCTGTTTCACCACCTTGAAATTAGTCAAAATGTATCTGACAGCGTTACTCATTCGCTCCCCCTTTTGTTCCCCTGTTTTTTAATACTCAGACAGACACATGTCAGGCAGCCATGACATCGCAGGACATCGGTGGTTCAGTACACTGCTGTTCCCACGCTGCTTAATGGCTTCATGCCTACTGGCCCAATCAGCCCACTTTCCTGGAGAGGACAGTCCATTCCTACTTTTTCTAACTCGTCATTCGTACCTTGGTTTCTTAACATGGCTTTTTTTTGCAAGCAACCTATGTTGTTTTCATTGTTTGCAGCCTTCACTGTGTCGTTTTCTAAAGGTTACATTTTTTACAAAGTCAATTAGAAGCTGGCATCGGGTGCAGCAGTGCAGTCCTTCCTGAGACAGCAGCTTTAACCGCTTTGCTGCCTAATGCTGCTTCCCCCCCAGCAAAGAAAACTGACGTTCGGTAACCAGAGATATTTCATTACAGCTAAAATCATCTTAGTATTGATCCACAGCTCCACTGTTTGTGTATTTGCTGGCAGAAATGTCTGAACGTCTAGTGTGATTTTTCTGGACTTAGTAATTGGTTTAGGAAAATTTGCCTTGCATGCCTGATTGTGAAGAGCGGGTAACACCAGGGGTGCAGTGTCTGTATGTGTGTGTGTGTGTGGGGGGGGGGGACGCAGGGCTTTCCCCTCACTCCATCTCCTTGGCCCTTTCCAGGCGGCCTTCCGGGACGAATGCAAGTTCAAGGAGACTCTGCTGCCAAACAACTACAACGCCTACGAGTCTTCGGTCTACCAGGGATTCTACATGGCGCTCAGCAAGCATGGCCGGGTCAAGAGAGGGAACAGGGCCACCACGGCCATGACGGTCACACACTTCCTCCCTCGAATATGAGCTGAAGTCGCAATAACTCACTAATTTGCACATGGGGATCTTCCCAAGTTTGTTTATATATATATATATATATATATATATACATATACATACACTCACCTAAAGGATTATTAGGAACACCAACCTAATACGGTGTTTGACCCCCTTTCGCCTTCAGAACTGCCTTAATTCTACGTGGCATTGATTCAACAAGGTGCTGAAAGCATTCTTTAGAAATGTTGGCCCATATTGATAGGATAGCATCTTGCAGTTGATGGAGATTTGTGGGATGCACATCCAGGGCACGAAGCTCCCGTTCCACCACATCCCAAAGATGCTCTATTGGGTTGAGATCTGGTGACTGTGGGGGGCATTTTAGTACAGTGAACTCATTGTCATGTTCAAGAAACCAATTTGAAATGATTCGAGCTTTGTGACATGGTGCATTATCCTGCTGGAAGTAGCCATCAGAGGATGGGTACATGGTGGTCATAAAGGGATGGACATGGTCAGAAACAATGCTCAGGTAGGCCGTGGCATTTAAACGATGCCCAATTGGCACTAAGGGGCCTAAAGTGTGCCAAGAAAACATCCCCCACACCTTTACACCACCATCACCAGCCTGCATAGTAGTAATAAGGCATGATGGATCCATGTTCTCATTCTGTTTACGCCAAATTCTGACTCTACCATTTGAATGTCTCAACAGAAATCGAGACTCATCAGACCAGGCAACATTTTTCCAGTCTTCAACTGTCCAATTTTGGTGAGCTCGTGCAAATTGTAGCCTCTTTTTCCTATTTGTAGTGGAGATGAGTGGTACCCGGTGGGGTCTTCTGCTGTTGTAGCCCATCCGCCTCAAGGTTGTGCGTGTTGTGGCTTCACAAATGCTTTGCTGCATACCTCGGTTGTAACGAGTGGTTATTTCAGTCAAAGTTGCTCTTCTATCAGCTTGAATCAGTCGGCCCATTCTCCTCTGACCTCTAGCATCAACAAGGCATTTTCGCCCACAGGACTGCCGCATACTGGATGTTTTTCCCTTTGCACACCATTCTTTGTAAACCCTAGAAATGGTTGTGCGTGAAAATCCCAGTAACTGAGCAGATTGTGAAATACTCAGACCGTCCCGTCTGGCACCAACAACCATGCCACGCTCAAAATTGCTTAAATCACCTTTCTTTCCCATTCTGACATTCAGTTTGGAGTTCAGGAGATTGTCTTGACCAGGACCACACCCCTAAATGCATTGAAGCAACTGCCATGTGATTGGTTGATTAGATAATTGCATTAATGAGAAATTGAACAAGTGTTCCTAATAATCCTTTAGGTGAGTGTATATGTGTATATCTATATACATATATATATAAAATATCACTTACACAAACACACATACGCATCTACATAAATGATATGATGTACACACACCAAAACACACTGTCTGCAGATCAACACTACAGTAGTATTTAATCTTTATATATGTATATTTGGGTAGTTACCTTTATATTAGAATTGACGTATATGCCATACTTTGCTGCTTAATATATTTATAATCATTATACAAGGCAGAGAGGCTCAACGGGCCATTGAACTTTATATAGGTGCTTGCCATAAGAGGCAGAGACCTTGCCTTGTCACTGGTATGACTACTATCCTCAGCTTTTTGAGGTGACATAGATCCTTTTTATTACCTCATATAATCACCGCCTGAAAAGATGCATGAAGTTCCTCTTGGCGCGGCCCCCCGCCGGGCCTCTGCTCTGTTTCCGCCCCTGCGAGAATGCAATACTTTATGTCAGCCCCGCCCCATTATGTTACGCCCCGCCCATTTGTACTAAGCCCCGCCCCGTTTACTTATGCCCCACCATTTCCACCATCATTGTCATTTTCTAGTATGGGAAATGAAGGTTCTTGGGGCTGGGGCCCCTTTACCGTGTGATGAGATGGTGCCTTAGCGTCCTGCCTACGGCCCCCTTTACTTGCACACGCAAAACGTAGCCGGCGGTCCAAAATAGGAATCACGATATGCGAGTCATGTGACTCTCAAGGCCTCCTGCAGGGTGACTCTAGCCTAATTCCTAGAGGGCCAGGGGATGACTTCTGTGTATTTTTTTCTCCATAATTAGATTAAATTAGTAATCGAACCTGAGCTGGATGGAGATCAGAGGAAGTCGTAGGTCGTAGCCAGAGCTGTAGAAACCCAAGGTGCTCCGACCGGGGAAACTTGACAAGCAGGACTCCCGATCCCCCAGCGCCAGCGCTGTCGAAGCCGCTACAGCAGCCACGCGCCTTGGCAGCTCGTCCCAGGCGTGCCACACGGTCGATGGCTGCTGGTTCTTGGATTTATGGGGGGATGCAGGGGGGGGAATTTCCCAGGGGGACAGGATATCCCTCAAGCGGCTGCAGTTAGGCACTTACCCCGGATATGGGTGACGCCACGGCAAAACCACCCCAACTTACGGTCCAAGAAGATGTCTGCATGTCAAGTTGGACTGTTGTAAATAATAATATGAAACTGGGGGGGTAAGCAGGAGGTTTACGCTGCTGTTCCAGCTTCTTCTGTTGCACGCTCTGCTCCTGGTGACGGCCCCTTGTATGAAGATCATAGAGGAGGCCTTGTTCTCTTCAGCTGGCTGCGGACTGGCACAAACAGGACGCGACCCCAGCAGCGACAGTGCTGTGGCTGTAGGACGGGGGGGAATGGGCCAGTGACGATGCCTGGATATCTGTGTGGGGTCACTCATGGCCCCAGGATGGACTGCACCCCCACCTCTGCCCTGTTTTATGGAACTGGGGGCTTGTTTTAATCTGGAAAAGACTTATGGAGTACTGCTGCTTGTGGATGCTGTTGTTTACTTAACTCTGAAAGAATGTGGATCCAATATGGGGGGTGCGATAAAGTACTTCCTGAATACCTGAGCAACCCCTCTACCCCCCCCCC